AAAAAATGTAAAAGATTAAAAAAGATCAACAATATTGACGCAATGTTTCTTTTATAATTTTGTTCAACTGAACTTTACATGATTGAATTCTATGTTTGCGACCATGAAAGAAAATTCCGAGGATTTGCATAATATTTTCTTCTTATAACTATTTCTTTCATTTGGGTTTTACAATTTTAAGAAATCTAAAGAGTTACGATAAATCATTGCTTGGTCCTTAATGGATTAACAAATAACCATTGAATATATATAGTTGCGATCCCGTGTGTCTTCAACATTTTATCCTGAGGGTATTTACTTTAGCATTGCTTTATATAGACGCTTGTACATGCGCTTGAATGTGACAACAATTCCTTATGATGTTCAAAAAGAAACATAAAATGAAAAATGTATTTATGAAACGCTGAACAATGACACGGAAATGTTTATACGTTCTTGCTTTTTGTAGTACTATGTTTTAGTTTCTTCAGTTTGCAATCTTGAACGCAATACAGTAGAGAATTTATCATAGAGAACTTACCAAAGATTTGTTTGTGCATTTATAATGTAAAATTGCAGACAATACACGTAACGTGAAAAGCTATACGTATGAAATATCCAAATATCCAATTATGTGTCCTATAACATTTAACTTTATATAACTGTGTAAAATAATATTTTCCATGGAGGTTCTATACTTTTAATTATATTTCCAACAATACGAAGTTGCATAGAAGTCCAGAGTCTACTGAATTTTTATTTGTCGAATATCTTAATATTCGAATGTTATATTATCAGAATGGAATGTGTGTATGTACTAGTAATTAAAAAATTAAAGATTATAATAACTAGCAGATAGTCTATTCTGGTGATACAATCAGAATATTAAGATGTTATTATTAGAAAATTTCTTTTTCTCTTCTTTATGTTTACAATATATCAGAAATCATCTAGTGACACAAAAATTTAACAAAATGTCTGAATTCAATTTTCAACGCACAAAGGGTTAAAAGAATCGGCAATTTTATTGGAATCAATAATCCCACGTTTGAAAATTGCTTTATGTTACCCATAGACGGAGAATAATAACTATCTAGGGTTAAGAATGCGTCTTTAAGTTGTAGAATTATTTTCAAAAATTACAGTCAAACAGAACATAGATGTTCTCGTTCGTTATATTAATATCGTAATTGTTAATAAGATATTGCAAGGTGAATCGTACTGAAATAGTATGATTTATAGTGTTGTAAACGACTAATGTAAATCATGTTAATAAAATTTGGGATACTTATTTTTATTTCGTATTCCATATTGATTGAAATTAGTGATAAAATTAAATTAGATTGGAAAACCAACACTGGAAATTCAGTAATGTGATATCCTAAATTTTTATGGTCTAATAAATCACTTATTGACAATCTTCTGTGATAAAATTTTAATTGCAATCAAAACCTAGAACTATCAAAGTGACCAATTCATAATTTTTTTGTAGAAATTTTACAGACTTATAACGACCTATAAAATTTCATAGACTTT